CGTGCGTTCCAGAAAGCCCTAGACTGGCTGTCACTGCCCTGCTTGGGACATGTGTTCATCCTTGACCTGGGGCTCGGCCTGGCATATTTGCATCCGCCGATCTGGAGCGCACATGCATCCTCACAGAAGCCGAGGAAGAGGGCAGGCTCCACCCAAACCCTGTGGACTTGGAGTTGGCCAGGGTACGAAAGGCAAACAATGAGATTCTCACCCAAGGGAGGAAGGAGTTTCGGGATCTAATTCAGAGTGGGCAGGAAGGCTTTGGCAGAGCCAGGCGTCCTGAAAGGCTGACCGGCATGCATCTGGTGGGCTGGCTGCCGGGAGGAGGATGGTTGAGCCGGATGGGACGAGGACAGCAGGGGCAGCGTGCACTGAGGCCCCACCGTGGGAGCTGATTGGACAGAAGCAGCATGGCCTTTCCCACCACCAGATTCCGCGTTGTGAGGAGTGACTGAAACCCTGTTGTGTTTAAGCCTTTAGCACTTAGGTTTTCTGTCCTACGTGGCCCAGGTGGGCATCAGACAAGGAAGAGAAAGGTGGAAGCCTCTCTGGGACTTGTCACCACTTCCCATCAGACCACTGACCACTACCCTTCCTGCCTAGTCTCTAGCTACTTCCCAGCTGTCCTGCCCACCCCACCCCCTACCTACTGCTCCAAACATATATGCCTGTCAAGACCCAGTGGGTGTGAGCTCTGTAGACCCAATTCTAGAGAGAACTGGACCTAGCACACCCTGAGAGCCGCCAGAGTCCCTTGTCTAACAGGACATAGGGCCCCCAGTGTGTGTGCCAGTGGACAGTGCATGGGAGGGCTGCTAACACTCTTGGAAGTGCCAGGATTGGCCTACGCAGATCCTGAGGTCCCCATAGTGCCCTTCATCCAGTTTGGTCCCAGGGGCCCCTGCGCTCTCCCAGGATGCCAACATCATCACCAGGCACCCTGCGTGGACCACTCTTCCTCGGGCTTTGTTGTCTCCAGGGTGGAAATGGGACAAAGACGTTTCAGAACCAAGGGTGGTTGGGCAGTGAGGAGACACTCAAATGAGTGCTGGGGAGGGGCCCTCACAGTCCCCCCCACCTTTGGCCCCAGGAGGGGTTTCTCAAGGTGGTCCTGGCTGAGAAGAGCTGTGTTGACATTGGCTGCTGTGTCCTGCACATTCGTTGTTGGCCAGGCAGCCTCGCCCTGCAGCCTCTCTGAAGAGGGATCCTATCACTACTTTACAGGAAGGAAAATTGAGGTTTGGGGATAAGTGACTTGTCCAAGGGCACAGAGCCCACTAGTCTTCAAGATTCAAACCCTGGTTTGTCTGGCTCTAAACCCCCTCTGCAGCCTCTCACCGCACCCCCTTCCATTCCGCCTTCTCAAGCCGGTCCTCCTGGAAGTCGGGAGGAAGAGTCAGGGTGCACAGTCAGAGTCATGGGTGGATGGATTATTCTGATTTTCACAACATAAAAATTGTTTCCGGAGAAAGCTGAAGAGAAGGAATCAGGAGTGGGTTAGAGGATGGGGCTGGGCTGGAGTGGGGCCTGGGCAGGAGCTGGGCTGGCCAGAGGCAGCCCTTCACACAACAGCCTCAGTGTTCCCTGGGCCCGGCTGCCATCCAAGAGCAACACCATTGGCACCAGCAACGTCTGCCCCCTCCCTCTTGACTCTGCTCCCGGGCAGGTGGGGGGAGGGCCTGCCCCCAGGAGCCCCTCCTGGCCCAGCCGGGCACTCCAGGAGCACAGTCTGCAAGCCCCTGCCTGGTACTTCATAGGTGCCCATCAGGGCTGACCCAATGGACAGGGGAAGTGCTGCCCAATCCCCACCCCCTCACCTCCCTTCCACATCTCCCTTCCCCCTTTAGGTGAATGCCCACCTTCGCAGGCCACAGCTAAGGAAGGAAGCAGAAGTGGTCTGAAAGGCTGGCATCCACACTCTGGCTGTGCAGAGGGTCACACTGGGCATTCCCTCTGCACCCTTCAAGGCCAGGGTTCCAGTTGTGACTCTGCTGTCCACTCTCTGCATGACCACAGACAAGTCACTCCACATGGGCACATGTCTGTTTTCTCACAAAGAGACAAGGATTCCCATATCACGTGGCTTGGCGGAAGAATCAAAGAGGTTCATGTGCGTCCAAGGCTTAGCGTGGTGCCGGGCACAGGGGGAGCTCAGACAAGGTGAGGGCTTCTTTCTCACTTCCTGCCCTGGCGGGCCCCATTCCCAGCTGCTAACACGTGCACTTCCCCCAGCACTCCTGGGCAGAAGGCAGCCAGAGAGCTGTGTTCTGGAAGGAGGAAAGGAAGCAGAGGCAGACCAGAAGCAGAAGCTCCAGACAACAGATCTCACCTGAGTGATTCTGACGCAGAGTGACCCTGTAGAGCAGGGGAAAAGTGCTCCTGGGGGTTTCTGAGACTGTAACTCTTGCCGGATCACCGGCTCCCCAGGTGCGTGAGCAGACGTGGACGTGGTGTGTGTGTGTGTGTAAAGATGATGCGTTTGCAGGAGAGTGAGACAGTGAGGTAGAGAGAGCCAGGCTTAGGTGTCCCTCCCAACCTCCTTCAGCACCAGAGGGCTTACTTGTCTGCAGCCCCAACACACACACACACACACTCCCGCCTGCCCCCTGACAGCTCCTTAGCGGGCAGAGGCAGGGTCTGACTCGCTGATCCATCCCCAAGCTTTAGACCAGGCATGCCACACAATAAACTTCAATTAACACTTGGCAAATGAATGAGCGAGTGGCCTTGTAAAGTTTGGTTGTGCACGTGAGAGGGAGAGATGTGTGGGGAACACATTCAGCATCCTGGAGACCTGGGTTGCCAAGCTGGTGGGGACAGCATGAGCATCTCAGAAGATGGGAAATTGCCCAACCTGGGCTCTGAAAGCCTTTTGTCTGCCTTTGGCTCAGGGAAACCCAGGAAAGATCCTGGAGGCTGAGGGAAAGCGGAGTTGGGTCCAGCTGCTCCCCTGCCACGTTCACAAAGGGGAACCGACAGACGACCAGAGCCTCTCCAGCAGCCCTCGAGGTAGGCGGCAAGCTGCCCTCTGGCACGCCCAGGGACTGGCCCTCATCTTTCCTGGGCCCTTCAGCAAGGCGGGACTTGGAATAAGAAGAACCAGGAAAGCTGGTTTTTTTAAAGATTCCAATTCTTTTCTGGTTTGCAGTGGGGGGAAGGAGCCTGGTGGCCGGGTGAAGCACTGAGCGTGGCAGGACGCCCACTGACCACTCTTCAGCAGAAACACAGAGCCCTCTGGGAGCCCTGAGCGACAGGGTAGCTAGCTTGCGCTAGGAGTTCCAACGGGCGCAGAGGCAGAAGGTCTGATTGGGAGGGAAGTTTGTCTTTGGGAGGAGATCAATCTTTTCTAGTCTCTTTTGAGAAGGGGAATAAAGAAATGGCCTTTTGGGTATGCAGAGGGAAACGGCCATTGTGTCGGGAGTTGGGGGTGTAAAGAGTGACACTCCTCCTCACGAACTGAGAAAGGACCCGGCTTCCTTCCAGAAGGGCAGGGTCTCCACCAGCCCTAGAGGTAACAATAGGGAGAGGGGTCTTAGCCCCAAGCCCACCGGTTTCTTTCTTCTCAAGGAGCTTTGGGAGATGCAGGGCTTCAAGTGAGGGGTGGGGGGGGGGTCAGAGGTCAGTCAGGCTCTTTGTTTGGCCTTGTCTTATCTTGCTGCTCAGGGAAGGAAGGGCTTGTAGGTGTGAGGCTGGACCGGAGCCAGGTGGGGCAGCACTAGTTGTGTGTGGGTGGGGGGGTGTTTGAGGTGAGCCACTGGGGACACCTACGGTGTGCCAGACCTTGAGAGAGGGTGAAATCACATCTTCTCAGTCCTGCCTTTCTAGAGCTTCCCCTTGTTTACACATCTAGTTACACAATTAATCCCCTGCAGACAGTGACAGTTCTGGCCATGCCAACAAAGACATACCCAGCCTAAAAACCAAACTCACTGCCATCCCGTGGATTCTGACTCATAGCCCCCCAATAGGACCAAGCAGAACTGCCTCTGTGGGGCTCAGAGACTGTAAATCCCTTTGGGAGAAAAACTTTGTCTCCCTCGAAGAAACAGCAGACCCAGCAGAATGCCAACTGACACTGCACAGTGAGCGCCCGCGCCAGGCAGTGTGCTAAGGATCACACACACCAGCACATCTGCTCTTGGTACCAAGCTCGATCACACCACCAGCCTTGCACCCGCTGTGCTGCAGGGGAAGAAGGCTCACAGGCAGAGTTACAGCCCCCACAGGCGGTTTTCTGAGCCATGTCACTCCTGTGTCTCCTGATTCACAGAGCAAAGTCATCTCCTGGTGAGTCCAGGAAGCCTCCCTGAGGAGGTGTGTTTTGAGTTAAGACCTAAGAATGAAATGGGATTAACCAAGAGGAGAAAGAGCATGGTAGGACGAGGGAACAGAGCGTGCGAATGCCCCGAGGTAGGCTGTGAACAAGGAAGCTGAAGCTTCCTCTGGAGACAAGGCAGGCCCAAATCGTATTACCGAGAGCGATGGGCAGCCATTAGGAATGTTAAATATCACTCTGGAGGTCGCTCACAGAACGAATTGGAGGGGTGGAAAGAGTCGTCTATCCACTGCCCGGCCACTGGTTGTGGGATCCCATACCCTAATGGGGTGAAAAGCAGGGGGGCTAGACCTGGGAAGCCTGGCCAGGGGCCGGTATGGGGGGAGCCGAGCCGCCAGTGGGCTGCTTGCTCCGCTGCCGTCGAGCTCGGGGCGGGGCCCCGTGGGCGGGACGCCAGGTTGCCCAAGGCTCCGCCTCCCAGGATCAGGAGGCGGGGCGTCGGGCGGCCCGCGGCCACGCCGCTGTCAGGCTGCGGCCGGGGCAGGTGGGGCAGCGCCCTGGGGGCGGGCCCGAGGCGGAGCCCGGGGTGGGTGGGGCCCTGGGCAGCCCGCTGCCACGCCGCTGTCGCGGGTGCATTCCTGGCTCTCCGGCCGGCCGCGGAGGAGCGCCCGCTCTGAGCGTGCGGGCTGTGCCGGGTGTGGGAGCCAGGAGCAGAGCCGCGAAGACGTCAGGTGAGCCCGGAGCCTGTGCGGGAGCCAGACCCGGGACGCTCCAAGTCCTCCGGGACCATGTGCGGAGTCCGGGCTGCGCCCCCAGCCTCCAGGGGCCGTGCGGCGGCGGGGCCGTGAGGGCTGCCGGCTCCCAGCTCTGCGGGCCAGGGCGTCCGCGCAGCAGGGGGGCGGAGGGGGCGGTCAATCAGTAACCCGCAGCGCACACAGGGCCTTTTGTCCCGCTCCGTCCAAAGAGCACCCTGCCCGTGGAGCTGGTTACTCATTGCCCACCGGGGCGGGGGCGGGCCGGCCATCTCTGCAGCTCCCCCTTGGGACCCACCCTTCCCCCAAGGTGGCTCAGAAGGACCATCTGCGCGCTGGGCATAGGGAGGAAGGCGCCGAGGTTCTTGAGAGGCGCACTTACTGACCCGGGGTCCCTCAACATGTAAGTGTGGAAGCAGGAGCAAAACCCTGGGCTGCAGGATGCCAGGCAGGCTCTGGGCTCCTGGTACCAGCTCTCCCCTCTGGTCCAGGTAGAGCATTAGCTGGCAGCGAGGCAGTGAGTCCTACTAGAGGCAGTGAGCCCAGGGAGCCTAGAGGTGGGGATAAAGTCCCTGCGCCTCCGCACCCAACTCCCAGCCGAACTGTGGAGCTGCCCTCTGTGCAGAGAACGGGGTACATGACTTTGACAGAGTGAGCGGCTGCTGCGCCGGGGCGGCAGGGGGTGTGACGCTAGTGACACCTGAACCAGATGGAGAAGGGCAGAGTGAGTGTTGGGGCAAGAGAGTAAACTGCTCAGTTTGGGAAGCGGATGACTTTGGTGCTTCTCAGGGCATAGAAGGTGAGCCAGAGAGAGATTGTCCTGACAGAGGAGGGAGGTGGGGAGGCTCCCTGGGAACCCGGATAACGGTCTGAGCCAGATCCCACAGTATGCAGGTAGCCATGAAGGTCTTGTAAGCTGCGGGTGACAGGTCAGACTTGGGGGGTGGGGGGCCGTGGAGGATACAGAGAGCAGGGAGATGTTGCAAGGGTCCAAACAAGAGGTAGCCATGACATGGCCAGGGTGGAAGCAGGGGAGGTGGGCTGGATGGGAGAGGGATGGAGGAGACAGACCACCTGCAAGTGGGGGTTGCGTGAGGGGGGGCGGATGCCATGGTGGCTGGCTCATTGAAGACACTCAGGGAAGGATCTGTTTGAAGGAAGAGATCGTAGCTTTGAGTAGAACTGACTAAATGCACCCCCTACACACACACCCCTGCCCCTGAGCTGGGCGAAGAGCAGTAGCTGAAGGGAAAGGGTATGATGGGCTTTCTGATCCCGAGATACCAGTACACCTGGCTGTGACTCAGCCCCGGGGAACAACCTCTGGGGACTACACTGTCCCGTTTCCTTGCCCCTGGTTAAGGCTCTGTTCTTTCTGAGTGTTGTTTTGAAGGTCAGTGACATTCTTGGTGAGATTTAGAGGCAAGTAACCTGAATGGGCAAGTAATATAACATGCATATCTGAGGGTGGCAAAGAGTAGACTCAAGATGACAAGTCACCTGTCTGGACCCAGGGGAGGTGAGCAGAGACATCCCCACATTCTGTGTCTTCAGCTCTTTTACCCTTGGAGCTCTTCTCTCAGTGAAGTGGCCCAGGGACACACAGGGTGGTACGCCAGCTTTAACTTGGCTCTGACTGACATTTGAGTCTAAAATCTTTGGGGAACCTGATGATGTCTCAGCTAGAGTTGTGGGGAGCCAGCAAGCAGCATGCCCCCCAGGGTGCAGCTCTGGTTCAGAGCAGGAACCCTTTGATGCTCGGCATGGGGTGCTCTGGATTGTGGGTAGTGAGAGGCCTGCCAGTGGAGGCATCCAAAGATGTTCATAGAAATGTCAGCCATGCTCCGAAGAGTGGTGGGGGTGGTGTGTGTGTCAGATCAGACAACTTCCAAATGCTGGAGTTTGGCCTTGTATTATATTTCAGGTATTTGTTTTGGCGCTTCAACAGTAAACTTTTTATTCGGCAGAAAGCAAATCATGTGTGATGAAAGGGAGCAGGAGATGGGTCCCCACTCTACTTCCCTCCAAGCACAGAATCCCCCTCCCAACCTTTCTGTGAACTTGCGCCAGGCTCTCTGCGGGGGCCCCAAGGGAGCAAGAAGCCTCAGCCCCAATGGCCCACACAACCTGCTTTGGGGAGGCCCTGGGCTCTGGCAGGGGCCTGGAGCGGGGGTGGGGGGGCCTAGGCAAGTCCGGTGACTACTTCCTGTCTCAGTTTCCTTGTCTGTCCAGTGGGACTCACCTGAGCGCAGCTCTTACCCCTCCCTTTCAGGAAGGCCATCGCTGGAAAGCCTGGTCGGGCCCGAGGGAAGATGTGGCTACTGTTGACCCTGCTGGGGGTCCTGCTGGGGGCACCCAGAGCCCCAGCCTTGTCCCTGGGGGCCTCTGAAGAAATGGAGCTGGGTATGACCCCGAGTTGGGAGAGGGTGGCAGGGCGGGGACTACTGGGCCCCAGGCAGGGTTGCTGGCTGAGCGGGCCTGGAGAGGCTCCTGGCGTCGGAACGGCCCAGCCATGGAGACTCCGTGTCTGGCTCCCAGCAAGCATCCACCTGTCTCTGTGAGGAGGGCCTTGTAGGGCGGAGGGCCCGGAGCTGGGCGGCAGAGCCGGTGGTGAGCCCTTTGGCTGTGTGCGTGTGTGTGCGTGCGCGCGCGGTATGCACTGGGCGTGTGGCGTGGGAGCATGTGCCATGTACACAGTTTGAGTATGACATACCCCAGAGGTGAGCCCTGTGTGTGGCACCTACTGCGTGTGCCATGTGTGTGCCTTGGGCAGTGGCGTGTCCAGCATGTGTGGGTGTGCAGGGTGTGTGTGACATGTGCCCCTGGGTCGTGGCATATGCCCAGTGCCCAGTACCTCTAGCATGTGGCTGTGTGCGTGTGTGTCCAGGAGCCACAGTGTTTCCAGCATGTGACGTGAGGGGCTTGTGCCATGTGTGTGCTGCATGCTTTCTGTGTGCAGGGGGCTGGCAGGGGCACTGCAGGGCTCACTGACAATTGCCGTCGGCCCACAGAACCCTGCCTGGACCCCAGCCCGGAGCAGCAGGAGCAGAAGCTGACCATGACCCTGGGGCAGCCTGTGCGGCTCTGCTGCAGGCGGGCTGAGCGTGGCGGCCACTGGTACAAGGAGGGCAGCCGCCTTGCACCCGTGGGCCGCGTCCGAGGCTGGAGAGGCCACTTGGAGATTGCCAGCTTCCTGCCCGAGGATGCTGGCCGCTACCTCTGCCTGGCACGAGGCTCCATGCTTGTCCTGCACAATCTCACCTTGGCTGTGGCAGGTAACGTCTGCTGGGAGCTCAGGGCCCTCCTGAGGCAGGAGGGCCGCACCTGGGCCTCTGACACCCCCCTCTGTCTCTGATGCAGACTCCAGCAGTGATGACGAAGACCCCCAGGCCCACAGGAGCCCCTCAAATGGGCATGTGTACCCCCAGCAAGGTCAGTCTGCGGCCTCAGGGACCGGCCTCATCCCTGGAGAAGAGTGCGGCAGCAGGGGTTCACCTGGGACTGAGCTCTCCCTCCCTGCCTCCAGCGCCCTACTGGACACACCCCCAGCGCATGGAGAAGAAGCTACATGCAGTACCTGCCGGAAACACGGTCAAGTTCCGCTGTCCGGCTGCTGGTAACCCTACGCCCACCATCCGCTGGCTCAAAGATGGCCAAGACTTCCAGGGGGAGCACCGCATTGGAGGCATCCGGGTGAGCCTCTGGCTTCCCAACCCACTTGCCCCCTCCTCGCCCTCCCTTGGTCTGCCCCCGTCCCTGCCTGCCTCGCTCAGTGAAAGCCGCAGGAGAGGAGGCAGCTGCAGAGCCCTGGAGGAGCCCGGGACTCTGGATTTGGGTAGTTGGGGTTCAGGTTCCCAACTCTGCCACTCACTTGCAAGGGCGCCCATTCCCCAGCCAGGGAGAAGCCGTGGCGGACACGGATGGGTTGAACGAGCTCTTCCAGCTCTCTCCCTCCTCGGGAGAGCCTGGCGCCCCACTCAGTGTGCTGGTGGGAAAACTACAGCCAGAGAGGTGAAAGGCGGGCTCAGGATTGCACAGCTAGGACAAGTGAGGCAGGGCGAGAAGTCCCAAGACTCAAACCCAGGGCTCGGCTCTTCTCAGAGCCTTCTCCCTACTAGTCCCAGGGTTGCTGGCACTGGCCTGGCTTCTGCAGGGTCTGCAGAGCCCCGGTTGGGGGGAATGGGCTGTGGCCCCTCACTGACCCTTCCCCTGCCCATAGTTGCGCCATCAACACTGGAGCCTGGTGATGGAGAGCGTGGTGCCCTCGGACCGGGGCACCTACACCTGCCTGGTGGAGAACTCTGTGGGCAGCCTGCGCTACAGCTACCTGCTGGATGTGCTGGGTGAGCAGACCAGCGGGGGTCCAGCCAGAGGGCAGCAGGGGACTGGGGGGTGGGCTCTCGGGAGAGCTTCATCTGGAAGGCAAGATGGGCTCAGGCTTAGATGGATGATTAAGGCAGTTCCAAGTGACCGGGTGTGGGGTGGGGGGGTCAGAGAGAGGCATGGAGCAGGGAGGGCCTGGGGAGCAGGACAGTGGGGAAGGCATCCCAGCTGAGGGCAACAGCCAAGGAGAGGTCTGCAGGTATAAAAATCGCCAGGCATTTGGCAGGAGTGTGGCCTTTGTTTGAGAGCCAAACCAGAGGGAGCTTGAATGCCCGGCCCACACGTTGGCCTTTACCACAAGCGCATGGGGAGCCACGGGGTGTAGCATGGGCTGACAAGGTCTGAGCGGCATGTCACCAGGATCCCTCCCTGGAGCTGGGGCTGGGGGGAGACTGGAGACAGTGAGCAGGGTACCTGTGTGGCTGCCACTGGTCAGGGTTGACGGCCCGGCCTGGCCCCCAGAGCGGTCCCCGCACCGGCCCATCCTGCAGGCGGGGCTCCCAGCCAACACGACGGCGGTGGCGGGCAGCGATGTGGAGCTGCTGTGCAAGGTGTACAGCGACGCCCAGCCCCACATCCAGTGGCTGAAGCACATTGTCGTCAACGGCAGCAGCTTTGGGGCCGACGGTTTCCCCTACGTGCAAGTCCTGAAGGTCCGGCCCTGGCGAGTACCCAAGTCCTGCCCTGTTCCCATCCTGGGGTGCCCCCAGCCACAGTGTGGCCCTGCCGTGCCCCCTGAGTCTGTCTCCCACCCCCAGACAGCAGACATCAATAGCTCAGAGGTGGAAGTCCTGTACCTGCGGAACGTGTCATCCGAGGACGCGGGCGAGTACACCTGCCTGGCTGGCAACTCCATTGGCCTCTCCTACCAGTCGGCCTGGCTCACAGTGCTGCCAGGTGAGCCCTGCCAGCCCCTGGAGCGCAGGGAGAGGCCGAAGTGACTTGCCAGCCCGGGCTGTGAGGGCAGAGGGCATGATCTGCCAGATGACGCTTTTTCCTTTCACACGGGCGCCTGGGCGTGCTGCCCTGCGTGTGCGTCTGACCCTGCCTGGGATTGTCCCTCTGGGCTGGTACCTGGGGAATCTGTAAGAATCTTGGGGGTGGGTGCTGGTATCTGGGACAGATGGGTGCTGTTGTGCCCGTGTGTCCTTAAGTGGGTTGAAGCCGCGAGGGCCTGAGTGGAAGGGATTAGGGCTGACCAGTCAGTGCATATGTCTGTGTGTGTCCACCGCATGAGCAGAGGAGGACCCCACATGGACGGCGGTGGTGCCCGAAGCCAGGTACACGGACATCATCTTGTACGTGTCCGGCTCACTGGCGTTGGCCGTCATCCTGCTGCTGGCCGGGCTGTACCGTGGGCAGGCGCTCCATGGCCGGCACCCTCGCCAGCCGGCCACTGTGCAAAAGCTGTCCCGCTTCCCGTTGGCCCGTCAGGTACATGCCCCACCCCCAGACCCCATAATGAGCCTCGATCGCCTGCAAGCCCTGGCCTGGCACCAACACGTGGAACCCTGCCTCCCTTTACAGTTCTCCCTGGAGTCGGGCTCCTCGGGCAAGTCCAGCTCGTCCCTGGTGCGGGGCGTCCGGCTCTCCTCCAGCGGGCCTCCCCTGCTTGCTGGCCTTGTGAGTCTAGACCTACCTCTAGACCCACTGTGGGAGTTCCCCCGGGACAGGTAGGCTGACCAGAGTGGGATTGGGACGCAGTGTCCTGCAGAATCTGCCCTTAGCAGGCTGGGTGGCCAGGGTCCGGTCCCACTCAGCCTGCCTTCTTCTCCAGCCTGGTGCTCGGGAAGCCCCTGGGTGAGGGCTGCTTCGGGCAGGTGGTACGGGCGGAAGCCTTCGGCATGGACCCCTCCCGGCCAGAGCAGGCCAGCACTGTGGCCGTCAAGATGCTCAAGGGTGAGTGTGGCGGCCAGGGAGGCCCTGCGGGGTGGGGGTGGCTAACCAGGAGCTCGCGGCGCTACCAGCCAGGCAGGGACCCAACCCTGTTACGGACCCTCAGAAGCAAGCCACTTGTAAGTCTCCACTTCTTGGCACACAGGCCATTGTGGTGGCAATGATTTGGGGTGACTGGGGCTAGCAGGCCTCTCTTGGCCTTGGCCTTGTGTCATCACCCTCCTCGTTGATCTCAGAAGCCCTCCACCACATGTCTGTGTTTCCCTACCCCAGTGATGCCCTTGGCTTCCCCAAGTCTTCCCCCCAATGTCCACCATCCTAAAAGAACAGCCCTTCTGTCTAAACTCTGTCCTGGCTCCCAAACAACAGTGCTCAGGTGCTGCACAGGACAACCTTGGGGCCTCGAACCACTGCTGTCCCCAGTTTCCCCCGCCCAACACACACACACACACTGCCCTGCTCCCTCCTCTCCTCCCCTCTGGGGCACAGCTGGGGCCACCTGGTACTTTCTGGGAGGCAGGGATTGAGAAATGTGCTTTGTGAGGTCTGGCGTGTATGTCATTGGCCCAGGGCCACAGGTCAGCCCCGGGGGCCCAGCCTCTGGTCCTCAGGCCTCACAAGCAGCCTGCTTCCTGGCCTCCCTCATTGTGGGTGGGGCCTGCGGGTGGCTCCCTGCGTCCCCAGGTCAGACTGAGTCTGGGCGACAGCCTGCTTTCCACCCCCAGGAGCTCACCCGGGTTCAGGGACTCACGCCAGCGCCTCCTTCCTGTTCGGAGCTCTCCCTCCACCCCACCCCCCACCTCCCTGCCTCCTGCTCATAGGCCTACACCCCCTTAAGCCAACCCCCTCCCTTGTTGCTTCCTGGTGTCTCCCTGGAGGACAGGGCATGACCCAAATTTCCACTTCTGCAAGAGGCCACTGTGGTTCAGAGAGGTTAGGAGATTGTTCAGGGACGCACAGCATAACCAGAATTCAGCCCAGGCCTTCCTAAGCCCGATCCAAAGCTCCTGGTCCCCTCCCCACCCTGCACTGCCTCCCCCATGTGCTTGGAGGGCAGCTGCCTCAGCCCAGCGGCTGCCCTTGCAGACAACGCCTCCGACAAGGACCTGGCCGACCTGGTGTCTGAGATGGAGGTGATGAAGCTCATCGGCCGACACAGGAACATCATCAACCTGCTGGGCGTGTGTACCCAGGAAGGTGGGGCCTGGGCCTGGGCACTTGGGCATGTGTACCCAGGAAGGGGGGCCGAGGACCAGCCGAGGGCCTGGGCACTTGGGGCCTGAGCTCTGGCCTCAGGAGCCGCCTCTCCCGACCCGGCCTCCGCAGGGCCCCTGTACGTGATCGTGGAGTGTGCCGCCAAGGGCAACCTGCGCGAGTTCCTGCGGGCCCGCCGGCCCCCCGGCCCCGACCTCAGCCCCGATGGGCCCCGGAGCAGCGAGGGACCCCTTTCCTTCCCTGCCCTGGTCTCTTGTGCCTATCAGGTGGCCCGCGGCATGCAGTACCTGGAGTCGAGGAAGGTGTGGGCAGCAGGCAGTGCTCTCAGCCCCTCCAGTCATGCCCGCTCTCTGATGGCCTGGCACTCAGTGTCCCCTGTCCTCGCTCTCCCCCTATTTACGACCCCCCTTGTAGATGCCCCATGGCCCTCTGGTCCCTCCTCCACACGCAGTTGGCACTGAATGGCTCCCTCCACATCTCTCCCCACCCCAGCCTGTAGGCAGAGCTGGGCCGGAAGTTAGACAGCCTACGTGTTCCCTCTTTGAGTCTCACCTTGCCCATGGGTGCCGTGAATGGGTGATCCCTGCCTCCCTGGTGGCTGTGAATTGTGTGTGCCTGGCCCCCACCCTGTGTCCCCTGCTAATCCCTCGCCCCGCCCCCAGTGCATCCATCGGGACCTGGCTGCCCGCAACGTGCTGGTGACCGAGGACAACGTAATGAAGATCGCTGACTTTGGGCTGGCCCGCGGTGTCCACCACATCGACTATTACAAGAAAACCAGCAATGTGAGGGAGGGGCCAGCTGGGCACTGGTAGGCATTGGGACCAGGGGGACATGACACCAACACCCCCTCCAATCCCTCCAGGGTCGCCTGCCCGTCAAATGGATGGCACCTGAGGCCTTGTTTGACCGAGTCTACACCCACCAGAGCGATGTGTAAGTCCTGGAAGCCGTGGGTCTGGGGTCTCAGAGGCTTTAGGCTCTTGGTCCTACCCCTCAGGAAGGGGAGGGGGGCCTGTGCTCCAGGTTCCTCTGCCCCGGCTTTGAACCTGAGGGGGTCCAGATGCCAAAGGCAGCCCCGGTTGCCGACCCCTGCAGTGGGTTGAGCCTGCGGGGGCTCCCTGAAGCCACCAGGAGGAGACAGCAAAGTGGTGGCCCCTGCTGAGCCCTGGCCCTGCCTCCAGGTGGTCGTTTGGGATCCTGCTGTGGGAGATCTTCACGCTCGGGGGCTCCCCCTACCCCGGCATCCCCGTGGAGGAGCTGTTCTCACTGCTACGGGAGGGCCACCGCATGGACCGGCCCCCGCAATGCCCGCCAGAGCTGTAAGGACTCTCCCTGCCCCTTCCTACTCAGTCCTCATCCTTCAACCTGACTGTAGCCTTGGGGTTGGACCCAGGGGAGGGGTCCGCTATCACTGTAAGGACAGCCGCCTCCTTCCTGAGCCAGCTTACACGCCCTTCCACTCAACGGCCTCCAACACTTGCAGCCTAAGCCCTCGTCCTCTGCTAGGGACCCCTGCTCCTCCCCTGCCCCTGGGCCTTCAGACCCCTCTGCCCCTCCTGCCCCTCCCAGGTATGGGCTGATGCGTGAGTGCTGGCATGCAGCCCCCTCCCAGAGGCCCACCTTCAAGCAGCTGGTGGAGGCCCTGGACAAGGTGCTGCTGGCCGTTTCCGAGGAGGTACCACACCTGGCCTACCCCCGCCCGCTCCCCACTGGGCTTCTGACCTGACCACAGGGACGGGACAGGACAGGCCACAGCGGTGGCTGACTAGCCCTGTCCCCCACAGTACCTTGACCTCCGCCTGACCTTTGGGCCTTACTCTCCCTCTGGAGGGGACACCAGCAGTACCTGCTCCTCCAACGACTCTGTCTTCAGCCATGACCCCCTGCTGCTGGGGTCCAGCGCCTTCGCCTTCCCCTTCCCTGGCGTGCAGACGTGAGCAGGGTGCAAGGCTATTCAGGCAGGTTGGTGGCAGCCCGAAGCCCCCAGATCAATCATACTTGGTGCAGTCCTTCACCTGGGCAGGCCCTGACCACCAGTACCGCCCCAGGTCGCTGGCCTGCATTGGGAAGGTCTGGCCATGGTCCTTGGGCCCCCTGGGCAAGGCTGCCTACTCTGGCCTTCCCCTCCCAGCCCAGAGGTCAGCCTCTAGCCTCCAGGCCCTGCCCTTACCCTGGGAATTGTGCTCCCAGGTTTCTGATAGCCCAGGGGCCTCTGCACTCAGCCCCTGTCTCGGGGGCTCAGCTGGGCCTGGCTGCAGCGCTGTCCTAGACCTCTGCTCCCCTAAGCCCTTCCAAATGAGGGGCTCTGAGCCTCTGTAACCATGCCCCAGCCTGCCTTCTGTGCATGAGGCTGGGAACCCGCCGAAAGTACAGAAGCAAATGGTCTTTTATAAATTATTTTTTTGAAATAGACCTCTGTGAGCTTGGTGTCTTCCCTGGGGGAGAGAGGATGGCGGAGGGATCCCCGACCCCCCGGAGGCCTCCTGCCTGAGCCACACAGACCCAGGGCTCTCGCCAGACCTTGGGGGCACCTCTGCCTGATGCTGCTGCTCTGAGACGGGCACAGAGCCAGAGCAGGCCCCTGTGCTGCCCTTCCTGGCTTGCCAGGACCAGCCTGTGCCCATGGCGGTGTCAGTGGGAGCGTGTATGACCATCCCCAGGGAGGATCCCCAGTATCTTCTGCACATGCATGTGCATGTGAGTGTGTATGCGTGTGTCTGCCCCAAGGCTGCCCCCTGGGAGCTGGAGGCCCCCCCCCCCATCTGCTCACCATTAGCCAAGCTGACCGTTAACACAGCGTGAAAGACTGAAACTGAGCCTGGAGACTGCTGTCCGCTCCCACGCTCCACTGCACAGGCTGGGGCCTTGTGGGGGCTGTGCCCGCCCTGCCCCACCCTGGCCAGTCTCCCAGGCAGCAGCTGGGAGCTGCCTGGCTGGGCTGCAGCTGTCCCTGCCCGCCTGGTCCTCTGCTGGGGAGGCCGTCACAGCCCTTTTCTCAGAAGCCCTCTCAAGGGATCAGTTTCCCAGGATTCTGGGCTTGGACCCCATCCCAGCCCCACCCTGGCAGTCGCTGCTGCTCCCCAACCCCTGATCCCCAGGCTGGGCCGTGAGACAGCTCTGCCGGCCATTTCTGACACTGCCCATGCATAGCACTCTCCTGCCCTGTCCCTACCAACCCTGGGACAGGCCTGCTGACCAGAACAGACCCCGTGGAGGCCGCCTGGGGTGCGTCCACGTGCTGAGGTGCACAGGGCCATTAGCCTGGGAAAGCCCTAGAAGCTGGTAGCAGCGCGGAACAGGGCTTCGCTGCCCTTCTCTGGGTCACCCCCATTCTCTCTCTGGCTCACAGTGTCCCCCACTGAGCTACCCTGCCCAGCCTTCCCACACCACGTTCCTTCTGGGAGGTGTGTGGTGGTGGTGGTGGGGCGTTCCATCTCAGAGAAAGCACCAGAGCAGAACCAGGGACTCACTCAGTCACTTTCTCCCCCTGAGAAGCTCCATTCCTAGCAGGGTGGACAGAGCCCTGGACTGGTAACCAGGTTCAAATCCTGCCACTTCCTGAGGTTACCAGGGAACTGAAGGCCCGTGCTGTAGCTGCCTGGATGACCACTGTCTCCCCAGGCATAAGGAGTCTCTCAGGGTGCAAACAGGAACACACTTGCCTCCTGACTGAAAGATTGGAGGTTCAAATTCACCCAGAGGTGCTTTGGAAGAAAGGCCTGGTGATCTACTGCTGTAAGATCGCAGCCATTGAAAACCCCGTGGGGAGGACTTGTAGTCTGACAAACAGGGCTGCCAACTCCCAAGGCATCAGGATGAAGTGATTGGGGCTTGGGCCTCCGTAGGGTCCCTCCACCCCAAGGTGTAGCTCCTTCTCCCCTGCCCCTTTGCCTGCACTGTGGAAACACCCAAGTTACTGACCGAGCTCCACTCCCCCAACCTAGAGTCTCCCCTTGGAGGTCAGCAGCCCGGTCGATCGCCAAGGGAGACAGAGCCTTGTTCCCCACTTAAGGAAGGGAAGGGTGGTCCATGGGCAAGAGGGGGAGGGGTGAGAATCCCCACTTATTTCGCACTTTCCCACCATGAGCTCACTGAAGCACCAGACTCAGCTACCCACAGGCTCTCCCTTACCTCAGCCTCCCCAGATAAAGGCCATAGTGCCTGCGCAAAAATGGAGAAACAGCATGTGGTGGGTCCTAAGCATGGGGCTTGAAGGAGCGGGCCCACCTCTCAGCTCCCTGCCTTGTACCGGAGCCCAGAGCCAGTTTGCTCAGAGTGGCAGGGGCAGCCGCTGCCTGGTGGGTTCCGGGAGGCAGAAAGGGCTCAGCTGCCCCAGCCTGTGCCCCCTCCCTGCCCAGCATCCCTGGCAGGCACATGCTTGCTGGAGTCAGTCCACATTCCTGATGTCCCATGTCAGACTGAGACAGATGCTGCTAATTCCCCCCAGCAGTAGTGCCGCTCCCCACCCCCCACCGCACCCCCCGCCGCCCCACAGTCTGGCAGCCACTGGGGTCTGTCCTCCTCCTAAGCCCTTGGAGCCTCCTAGACAGTGACGCTAGACCTCGTGAGCCAGCGGAAGAAGCACCAGGTTGTCCACATCCTGACCTTCCCTCGCTGTCTGCGTGTTATCAGTTAGGGCAGCAGTGGGGGCTGCAGCCAGCCAGCCAGGATGCAAGCACAGGAGGCCACAGGCCAGGGCATCGGCATCTAGCGGCAGGGAGCAGGGCTGCTCACGGGGGTTGGTGGGGAGGGACAACACTCTGACCAGAGTTGCCCTCTCTGAGCATCCGTGTCCAGCCCTGTGACCCAAGGCTGACGTTGCTGTCTCTTGAGGCGACTTTACGTGCACAGGATCGGTTGTGCTGAGCGGAGGAGTGAGTGGCCCTCGTTGCTGGGTGGCTGCACAGGTCCCACAGGGCAGCCCTCGAGGAAGGCATTCTTGTCCTCATTTCTCAGATGAAGGCCTGGAGTCTCCTGAGGAGGCAGGGACTGGCGCAGGGTCACACCGGGTAAATGGCAGAGATGGTTTCATCCCCACAGTGCAGGCAGCCCCACTCCCAGGTCCCCGAGAGCTCTGGGTTTGCGTGCCGCAGGGGCATTGCTAACCGTTGGCCAGGCACAGGAGTAGACAGATGTCCCAGTGCCCAAGCACAGACATGCCCTGGTGGCATGTTTGGCTCTAGCCTGTGCCCTGCCACCCCTAATACCTCAGGCTCCTCACACGGATGATCCTTTCCTTCTCCTGCCTCTCACCAGGCCAGGCCCTGCTCACCCCAAACCCCGCATTTAGGATCAGACTCCCTGATTCAGAGACTCCGCCGCTATAAGTCTAAAAATGTAGCCTCTTAGCTCAGACTGGGAACGCCAGGGGCAAGGACCTTTGCAAAGACAGAATTTACACACCACTCCGACTCACCGCGGGGACTCTGTTCTGGCTCAGAGCCACCCTAGAGGAGGAGAGAACTGCGCCGGTGGGTTTCCGAGACTGTCACTCTTTACGGAAGTAGACAGCCTCATCTTTCTCCCAAGGAGCAGGTGGTGGTTTGAACAGCTGACCTTGTGGTTAGCAGCCCACTGCATGACCCACTGCACCACTAGGGCTCCAGTTTCATACATAGGTTCTTGTTTTGTTTTTTTATCGGTAGTTCTGACATTTTCATGTATATCATAGTTAGCCCCAGGCCCAAATGTTCAATATAGTAGATCTGTGATGAAGCTAAAGGGGCCCTGGTGGCAATGTTGGCTAAGTGTTGGGCTGCTAGCCACAAGGTCACTGGTTCAAAACCACCAGCCACCGCTCTGCAAGACAAAGACAAGGCTGTCTGCTCCCGTAAAGGGTTACAGCCCCGGAACCCTGTCCATGATCCCTGTGAGTCGGCATCCACTGGCTGGCAGGGGGCAGGGCTGCAGTCTGGGAATCTGCTGTTCTCAGCAGCTCTATGCAGTGTGGAGGTGGCTAGCCTGGGGACCCCGCTCTGAGAACCACACTTGTAAACTAGGTTCAAACAGGCATGTGTTTTAAAAAAAAGGAGTCATACAAAGTTTTCACTAGAAGTCACCCCTGCTCTTGTCCCTCCCCAGGGAAAACTGTTCCATCTCCCGAACCCTCTGGCAGAGCACACCCTGCCCACGGCCACCCCACATGGAGTTCTTGATCTGGTTTAGCTGCAATGCCCCTGCAGCCCCAGCGTGCAGCCCCTGGCAGGGGTGGGGTGCAGGAAAGCTGTTTGGCGAAGGAAGGCGGAAAGGAGACCCAGCCCCAGCTCTAGACACACTCAGGTGTGCACACACGCCTGCGCACACCCAGCCCTCCTCTGCTCACCCCTTCCCACATTCTCGGGCCTCTGGGAGCCCCAGCCCCAGCCCTCCACCTGCTGCAGGATTTGGCCTAAGCCAGCAGAATGTGTGAGAGGCAGCTGCAGCCCTCTCTGGGGAGAGCAGCCTCCTCTCTGGAGGAAATCTCCCTTTATTCTCTTGCTCCCGAAATCTGACCTCCAGCAGCACCTGGGCCCTCCGGCTGGGGCCTGTCCCCAAGAAGTGGCTGCGGAAAGGCGCGTGAAATCACTGACAGCTGAACTCCTTCAGCCTCTCCCCACATCCTCTCCAGCTGGGTCCCAGCTTGCATTCCACAGGGCCCGTCCCTGCTGGGTTCCTGGCCTGGCCTCGGCAGCGACTGACCACCCTACCTGGGCCCGGGGGACAGGGCTGACCCCTTGCTGCTCTCACCCTCCATCAGGGGTCCTTTCAGTGGCTTCCACCTCCGGGAAGTCAACCCTGACCTCACAGCACAAGCTGAAGATCCCACCTCGATGCACGATTAGAACGAGGGCCGTGTGCCTCTGTGCCATCTAGCCAGGGGCCTTGTGGCTCCGTCTCCGAGCATCACACTGGGCAGAGCAGGGCGCCTGGTTGATGGGGACCTTCCGGTCAGTTCTGACTTCGAACGACCCTGTGTGAAAAGGAACAAAACATCCGCCGTCCTCACAACACTTGGTGCGTCTGCGCCCGTCATTGCCACCACTCTGTGCGTCCAGCTCACTGAGGGTCTTCTCTTTTGCTGTCCCTCTACTTTGCCAAGCACGCTCTTCCTTGCCAGGGCCTGATGGCTCCCGAGACCAGGCCCAAAGCCAGGGAGATGACATCTCACTGTCCTCTCTCTAAGGAACGTGCTGGCCGTACTGCTCCCGAGACAGATTTGTGTGTTCTGGCAGTCCGTGGGTAGGTTCAGGGTGCCCGAGGCTTGTCGGATTATCAAGGGTGATAATGAGCTACCCAGCCAAGGAGGCTCCTGAAAGAAAAGCGACCCTTCTTTTACAAGCTGAGGCCTCTAGGAAATCAGAGGGTCCGTCCTATTTCACGAGGGGCCGCCAGGAGGGCTGGCTGGCAGGGGGAGGACAGATCCTACTGGACAA